TTCAGGGCCCTTCCTCCCCATCCCCATCTCCTCTGAGCTTAGCCCAAAACCCACCTCCTCCCGAGACCGTAAGGACCAGCCTAGTGGGCAGACCTAAGAGTAAGTAATTCTGTTCTAGTGTAGAGCAAAGATACCAGCTCCTGGCCCAACTCATTCTCTGAGGGCTCAGTCTCCAGCATTTAATCAGCATAACTGCTCCAGTTGATAGGGTTAAGTGCTGCCCAGTGCCTGGCACTGGGATGATCGGGGCACTGGCAGAGGTGCAGAAGCTATGCCTGCCCACCACAGTCACGTCCTCAGGTATCCACTCTTATTTAGCTTCTGGTCTCAGGGTTAGAAAGACCCCACCTTGCTCCCTTCCTCTTACGGGAAGCAGATCTGGGTTTCCCAGCACAGGCAGAGGCATGGTGAGTCTAGAACACATGGCCACTTGCTCAGTGGTGCACTCGACATAGCCAGGTAGTCAGGCCTTGCAGTAGCCCTGGACAGACAGACAGACATGGCCTGCACCTGGCCACTGAGAACACCACCTTGCCAGGCAGGTGCTCATGCTGCCTCATGCCTGATGCCTCTTTTGGTTTTCTCTTCCCATCTGCTGCGTGGTCTAGCAGATAACTGTTATTACCTTATTCCACAATTGAGGACATCAAAGCCTCCAGGGGTTCCATCTCCTGCTTGTATTAGGGGAGTTGTTGGGGAAGTCAGGGTGAGACCTGTGGGCCTGGCCCTGCCTAAGTAGCTCAAGGTCCTATCCACACTGCTAAGCCTACACAGGATGGACGCTTCATCCGAGTTTTGGGGCCACCTGTGCTAAATCCAGAGAAAGTTCCAAGGGCAAGTGGGTTCTAATAGGCTGATATACTAATCAAAAACTAATAATTAAGTGACATTTTTCCCTGAAGGGCCTAGCTCAGTGCATGGTACACAGTGCTTGCTACTTGTGGCTGGGATCATTGGCCATTACTGTCAGTGATTCCTGGTCTCTGTAGCATTCACCTCTGTTATTTTATTTGGTCTCCATGTCCCTTGGGAGGTTGGCAGGGGACAATACCCCCACTTTACAGGGTCCCACAAAAGCAGGGCCAGGTTCTTGGTCACAGCGTGCGGAGTAGAGCTCTGGCCCCTCTCTCCTGTTCCCCACACCACGACGTGGACCCAGCCCACATAGGACAGAGGCCAGGTGGAGCCAGGTCCCTTTAAGGGCCCTCAGGCTGGGCCATGGGGAGGGAGTGGCCCCTAAACCCAAGGCCGGCTGGAACTGCATTCTCTAGGGGAGCGAGTGGCCGCCTGGCATTTTCCCTTTGATACTGATACAGGCATTTTAATAGCTTCGACCCATCAGGCGGGTGATGTTTCAGCTCTGGCCATGCAGGGCATTCCGGGAGGCCCTGGCTGCCAGCAGGGGAGAAACGGGAAGGCTTCTGCCCTCAGGGTAGCAGGGGGTCCATGCAGGGGCTGGGAAAGGCTCCCACCCACTCCTGAGCCTCAGCCTAGAGACTTCGGACCCGAGCTCTCAAACTCACGCACCTACGGAGGCCAAGCTGTTGCCTAAGCAGGTGAAGTCAGACGGGGGAAAGAGTGCCATGCCATCTACGAGGAGGCAGCCACCACATGGCACCGCGTGGCCCACAGCTGCCAACCCTCCCATGGTACAAGGCAGACTGGAAGTCAGAGCTTCATGTGACATCACCTGATCTGTACACAGCCAGGACTTACCGAGCACCTGCCACGTGCCGAGCCATGTTCTAGACACTGGGGACATGGCAGAGAATAAAACAAAACAAAGTATCCATGTCCTTGTGGAATTTACCTTCTAATGATAGAGGGAGGCACTAAGCACAATAAATATGCAAAATATACAAATAAGTAAATCTAAGGAGGAAATGAATCAGGGAAGGGGATTGGAAGTATAGGTATAGGGCTTACAAAGCAAGGAAGGCCTCACTGGAAGCATGCCAGGTGGACAGCTAGGAGAGGATGTTTGCAGTGGGGCGAGTAAGCGCAAAGGCCCTGAGGCAGGAGAAAGGCTGCTAGGTGCGGAGCAAGAGGCTGCATGATCACCCTGGCTGCTGTGCTGAGAACTTGCTGTGGGAGCATGGGTAGAGGCAGAGGGCCCTATTGGAAGGTTATCACAGTAATTGGGCCCAAGGTGATGAGGTTTGGGCCAGGTGGTCCTGGTGGAAGTGGTGAGAGGGGGCTGATGCTGGGGGCATCTGGAAGATAAAGAACATGAGCAGATCGTTGAATGGGTGCATGACAGTGAAAGAGGCATCAACGCCCATTCTGAGCACCTGGCGGGATGCAAATGCCATTCTCTCCCCATGATGAGGGAGTTGGTAGGAAGCAGAGGTGGTCTGGGCAGGGGAGAGCGATCAGGAGCTCAGTTTTGTAGTGCTAATTCCGAGATGCCCGTGAGTGGACACATCTAGCAGCCATGAACATGTGCACTGGGATTCTATACGGAGGGCCAGGTGAGGTCCTTGAGGGAGTCATGGTTTAGCAGCAAGAGGTGAAGCTCTCGCCAGTGGTCCCGGTGGCCCACAAGACTTAGGTGTCAAGTGGACAAGAAAAAGCCAGTGAAGAGGACCATGGGGGCAGCCAGGGCGGCAAGAGGGGAATGGAGTGAGCTGGCTGCTTGGGAAGCAAGCGCTGGAAGTGTTTCCTGGAGGAGGAGCAAGCAAGCACTGCCCACGGAACTGTCACTGCACCTAGCAGCTGAGTGCCCGAGGGAGAGAGCCCTGTGCCTTGACAGAAGCCGTGTGCGGCTCCTGGTGTAAATGAACTATGTGGAGGGAGACGCTGACCCGGCAGGAAGGCAGAGGACTCGCTGGCCTGTGGTCCCTTTATGGGCAGGATGGGGAGATCAGGGGAAACGGAGGGGTTGGTTTTGCGGGGAGCACAGATGGGAGGGTGCAAAAGGGCACTCAGGGTCACAGAGAGAAGTTCTGGTTGGTGACAGTGGCTGGAGCCACCATGCGCACTTCTGCTGGCACCTAGCGCCATGCTGCTGTTGGATGAGCCATGAGCCCGTTGGTGACAACCCGAGACCAGGTTGTTGCAAACTTCACCGGCTGTGGCCTGTGGGTCATTGACTAGCTCTATCACTTTCGCAGACCCGTGTCGCGTCCCCCTGAGGGACAGGCCCTCGGGTTGTTGGTGGGAAGGGGTATGCACATAGGCTCTGAAGTGTCTTCCTGCGAAGTGCCGTTCATGAGCCAGGCTCAGGCCTGGGCGTCAGAGACTCTTCCACCAGACTTTGTGCTGAGGATCACTATTCGCCCAGCGGCCACTCTGCCCAGCTACAGTCTGGCCTCGATATCCACCTCCCCTCCCCTCTGTAAGTAAGGGAATGTTCCCACTCCTCCTGTCTCTTTGACCTCCAGCCCCCTGCTGACCTCAGAGCCCCCTTCCACCTCATCTATCCCTGTGCCTCCTCACCAGGGACATCTGTACTCACATTTCTCCGGCCGGACAGAGTGGACTTGGCCTCAGAGGCCTGAGTGCGCAGCTCAGATCCACCACGTTTGGCAAGTCTGTCAGCTTGAGTCTATTTCCTTGAGTAGCTATTAAGCCTCTCTTAGCATTTGATTATGAAAGATAGTCATGCTTCTCTGGATTGAAGCACTCAGCTCAGTGCAGTGGGGCTCAGCAGACACTGGTTTGCTCTGAAGCTTCCTGAAGCTTCCCAACCTTCCCTCCCAATATCAGTTCCAAGACATCTCTTCTCTTCTCCTGTGGCCCATCCTGAGAGGCAAAGTGGCATGGCACTGAGGAAGCAAATGTCAGGGAAACTTGTACGGTCTGCCTGACCTCCTAGCCAGCCAGCACTGTCCAGTGGGATGGCAGCCTCCAAATACAGCCAGATTTTGCTAGCCAGAGCGCAGGCCCATGTGGCAGGATCTTCCCATTTTTCAAGAGAAACTGGAAATGCAAATTTGCTTGGGAAACCACCCACTGAAAAATATTGGCAGCAGCCTCCATAACAGTATTTAAAATCTCTATTGGAATCAGATGAACTACACTAAGGGCCAAGTTTGCTCTGTGGCTGCCAGCTTCTAACTGCTCTACTAGTGTCAGAGAGTGTGGGATCGAATCCTAGCTCTCTCCTTTACTTCCCTGTGACCGGGCTGGTGGCAGTCTCCCTCTGTGCCCGGTTCCCTCACCAGCATGAGTGTAGCAATGTCTGACGCTCATTAGGGCTTCCAAGGTGTGGGATGCATGTTTTGTATGCACTGACCATTTCAGTCCTCTCAGTATCCCACGAGGCTGGAACTCTAGTGGCCAGGGTCCGAGAGCCGTGTGAGCCTGGCAGTCTGGCTCCATACACCCCTGTGATAGTTGGGCCTCGTCATTATGAGGATGAAGCAGGAATCCTCACTCAAGACACTGGGCAATCTGCCACGAGTGGAGTGGGCACTCGAGATGCTAGCACCTGTGGGCATCCTGCTGTGTGCTGCATGGACCTGTCCACTTGCCATCACGTACGTGGCACTCCTGGGGAGTAGGGGGTGTCCTCCTTCTTCCAGATTGGCACAGTGATCTAAAGCTGTCGAGGAAGAGGTCTGTGCCTGGTGTCAAGGGCCTTCAAGCCCCCACCCCTGCCCACCTGCCTGTGCTGGCTTCATGAGGGACACCAGAGGGACACAGGGCATTGTCTCTGCCCAGGATCCGTTGGGAGTGCTGTCCAAGAAAGGAAACAGCGCTCAGCTGAGAAAAGCCTATCATTGTGCACATGAGCATGGTGCAGAAGGCCACAGCTGGTTTATAGGGGCCCACGGTTGGGGTTAAGAGCTTGCTGAAGACATCGGACCCTGAGATTACTGTGATAGGTCTTCTCTGCTTCTTATTAACCAGATGCCCAGTGGCCAACAGAAGGCCAGTAAGTATCAGTCTTTGATCCAGGAGCAGTACCCCTTCCCCTACCCCCCAGCCCACAGGTGCTTCCCAGGGCCTGGTGTTTGCAAGCTCTGGGTGACTCCTCTTTCTCTCTCCTTGTACAGAAATGGCAACGCCACTCACGGAGGCGCCGGGAGGCCCCGAAGATGTCTTCAGGATGTAACTGCCCACCAGGTAAGGAGCTCCATGAATTATGAGGTCAGTGTCCCTAGGACAGGCACTAAGCACCGGAAGTCCTTCCCAGTGGTCATGCTGAATTCATAGGCCACCTGGGCCATTACTTCTCATCTGAAAGATGGGGGGAATGATAGTATCTATGATGATTGTGGTGTCTACTCACTTATGGGCCTGCCTGTCATCTGTCCATCCATCCATCCATCCACCCATCTACCCACCCATGAGCCATCCACTCAAGCATGCATTCACTGCCCCCCCCCATTCTTCTATGGGGCTGACATTCTCTGAATCAGGTTGCAGCGGAATCAGCTAAGATGATGGTTATGGCCGTGTCTTGAAAATCATGATGTGCTATGCAGAGCCCAGGGGAAGGTCAGCTTCACAGGAGTGGGGACCCTACTTGCCATGTTCACTTTTGTGCCTGCAGCTCCTGACATGTTTTTGGTGCACAGAAATGTTTATTACCTGAGTGAACAAGTGCCCTCTTATTGTGAGGCTTTATTTGGCCTCACCAGGTGCCTTGGGGGAAGATTGCCCAATGTATGGCATCCAAGCCACGCGAATATACCCACATGCTCACAGGTACCAGACACCCTGAAACATTGCTGGGTGATGGGGTAGAGTGAAGTTAGCCAGTCTAATCTGGATTCAAAGGTTGCTTTTACTATTTACTTGCCCAGAATGGGCAGGTCCCTTACCAAGGATGCCTATTCTAGTGTTGCTGGCCTGCTCTATATCTGTGTCTCTGCAAGTATTTAATGCTGTGCAGGGCACCTGCTGTGCGTCAGCTGCTGTGCCAGGTGCTGAGTTGAAGTACATTATCCAAATTTTATACCGTTGATACGGGACAGCTGCTGAGAACTTTCCCAGGTAGCTATGAGAATGACAGATGAAGAAGGTGCCCTGTTCCTTTGAGCAACTAGAGTGAGCTGTGCTCCTGTGGGTTCACAGGAAGCAAGCACAGAAAACCGGCTGAGAGAGACAAGGTAACACACGAACGCAATCTCAGGGAGATTTGGCTCTCTGCCAGTCCAGAGTATGGCCCCCTGGACACCCACTGGGGCAAGTGACCTTGGCAGGACACTCTCTGGGCTCTCCTGGCAAGTCCTACTCTGGCCACAGGAGATGAGGGCCCTAGGAACCCTCACCCAGGGAAGGAGGCTGACAGATATTAAACATACGGAAGTGCAGGGACCGTACTTGCCAGGCGTGAGTGGACTGGGATGGGAGTCACAGATCGGGCATGCTGTGCAGGAGACATGAGGGCGTGAAGGGATTCAGCTGGCCACGGTCAGAAGAGGGTCGTCTGGGTTAATTAAAAGGGTATCCAGATGCCCTGGGAAGCTCCCTCCCTCTCTCCCTCAGAGCCCAGACAGTTGGGCCCTGGGATCTGGGAAAGCTTCCTGGAGAAGGAATGCCAAGATTAATGAGACAGGGTGGAGATGGGGGTGGGGTGACAGGGCCTGGGCAGAGCAACTGCATGCATCCACATTCTGGGGCTGCCCACAGTTAAGTAATTTTGTCTTTTGTCTTCATAACTCTTAAGCATTTGCAACTGATGAGAAGCAGATTTGTAACTGCAGAATACATAAGTGTGAATTCCACCTTTACATATCAGCTGTGTGACCTTCAGAGAGTTCCTTAACCTCTCTGTGCCACAGTTGTCTGAAAAGCGGGAGTAATAGTCATCGTCTTGCAAATATGTGGTAGAGATTTAGTGAGATGATCCTGGACTATCTGCATTACTAGCACAGTGTTTGATCTACATTAAGCACCATTATCATATTATTTCCACTATTATTTCCTTACTTGCCTCTTGTAGGTCAAAGACACCCAGAGATCCTTATCAGACTGCATATCCTGGTATTCAGGGCATGGAGCGCTGCATGTTCATGGCCAGGCTCACTCTTTCCCGGCCTGATCTGGGAAAGCATGGTAGCTGTCTGATGGCCCTCGGCTGGCTGGCCACTGTCACAGTGAGGGTCCCTCTCTGTGTTCTGGAAGGTCTGCTCAGGTGGTCTGCGAGGTGGCACCAGGGAGAGATGTGGCAGGAGGACTTGGAAGAGCACCTCACCTCCTCCTTGCCTGCTGGGAGGCCATGAGGGACTTGGGAGTCTTGGTCTTTGACAGAAGAAGGAAGGGCTTGAAGCAGGCCCTCTGTGGGGCAGCAGGGAGGCACCAGCAGGAACTGCACTGGACAGGCGCAGAGCAGAGAGAGCAGGGGCTCGTGCATCTGGTTCCTGGGGGTTGAGAAGTTCAGCAGGGCAGTTTGCTCAGAAGCCCGCAGTTAAGAGCAGGAGAGTTTAAAGAGAAGGCCTCGAATGGAGGCAGAGTCTGGTGACTCAAATGCCTTCTGCTGCTCTTTGGAGAGTCAGGCTGTGGACTAGGAAGGTGGCAGGAGGGTGTCTCACACCTTGGATCTCAGAGCACCGTACATCTCCTGGGTGGGCTCAGCCCTGCAGGCTCCCTGCGTGCACCTCCCTCTCCTCACAGCCTGGGGCATTGTCTCCTGCAGTAAAGAAACCTCCTCAAGACAAACAGGAGGCTGCTTTGAGTCATAGCGGTTTCTGTCACTGTCCCCGAGTGAGTACCCACTGTGTGATGGGCACAGTGCTGAGCCCTTCATCTGATGGGGAGCTGTCCTCAGAACACTGATGAGGGAGAGAGAGAGAGGGAGAATCATACATGCTGAAATGCTGCTGTCCTCAAATATGCAAGTAAAACCCCAATCTCCTCTGACCTGCCCCGTGCAGCTCTGACCCTTGCTGGGTTCGCTTACAATCATTTTACAGTGCTTGCAGGACTCAGGCTACTGTAAAGTGCCACGTGGAAATGCAGAATGTTATTTACCTTGGTCTCCCCAGCCCTTACTATTGTGCCCCATACATAGTAGATGCTCCATGAATATTCAGCAAATTTAGGAATCATTCCTGATGACTTGATTCTTTCTGGTGATCTCCATCTGCCGTCTGATTGCTTTGGATGCCTTGCTTTCTGTCACACCCCCGTTCTTGCCTAATGCAGGAATTGCCACCATAAGATACAACAAATAAACACACTCTTCCTGCCTATGATAGCCCTTGGGATCAGGGTCTATAGCCCCAAACCCAGGCCTACCCTGTTTGTCCCTCTGTGGCTAGCTTTCCGAGTCCTGTGGTGGGTGTGTTCTTCCTTGCGGCAGCCTGGGCCCTTGGGCGGTACCCAAAGGGCTTGGGACACATAATCATGGGCAGAGAACCTACCTTCTTCCCTTCCTAGTCTGACCTCGCCAGCATCCTACTGGGATCCTCCCTGTCTTAAAATAGCCCTTGACTGGCCCGGAGCTGGCCGCATCCTGCTTCTGGGCCACACGTGCTGTTTGCCAGGGGAGCGATGGTCTACCAGGCCAGGGATGGGATGCCAGAGGTCAAGTCTCAATTGGGAAGGACACTCGGCCAAGAGTTTAGAGGAATAAGTGTGGACTATTTGCAAAGCTGCAGTCAGTCTGGTAGGACAGGAGAAGGGCCTTGGGAAAAGACGTATATACCGTGGGAAAAAATGTACATACCATGGGACTTCCTGGGCCACTTGAGATGAATACAAAGATCGGGGAAATGCACCCATTCTCAAGCCCAGTTCTAATTAACAAAGGAAGAGCAGGACAATATAGGTTCTAGCTGGCAAGGAAGCAGCTCCTTCAGGCTCACCTCACCGGGGCTGGGTGGGGTGGCCAGTGCCACATCCAGGCTGGGGCTGATGGCCTGAGGCATGGAACGCTGTCACACACAGAGGGAACCTGGCCAGTTGAGGTGCAGGGGCCACTCACGTCTCTGCCTGGGCCTCATCTGTAAGGGAAAGGGCAGCCCATGGTCACACCTTGACCAGCCAGCTGAGAGCTTGGGCTGCAGCAGCAGCAGCAGCAGCAGCAGCAGCAGCAAGGGCAAGTGGGGTCAGCCCTGCCTATTAGTGCCGTCCATCACTGGCCCTTGTGTGGAGGATAGGTGGTGAGGAGGGAAGATGCTGTTGGTCAGGCTTGTGGGAGAGGCTGTGAGCATGCCCAGGCTCAGAATGCTGGTGACACGTGTGTGTCAAGTGCCAGAGAGCCCTGAGGAACTTGGGACCCTGGCAGAGCTTCACCGAGGAGGTGGCACTGAAGCTGGTCACAAGGAAGCAGGTGGTAGGGTAAGCAGTTAGAGTACAGGCTTAGCTGCCACCATACCAAAGCCCCCAAACAGAAGGACTTAAACAAAAGTGCAGGTCTCTCTCATGTAGCGTGCCAAAGGGGCGCGATCCAGGGCCAAAAAGTGACCCTGTCACCTTCGTCTTCTGGCAACCATCTCTGGATCCCTGGCCATTGCTTCAGTTCTCACCGTCTCCCAGCTAGCACGATCGAGGAAGGGACTAGGGCAGTATATGCTCAAACCCTCAAGAGTAGAATGTGGGGAAAGCAGAATGTGTGTGTGGAGAAGTACCCTTCACCTCTGCTCACATCCCAATGGCCAGCACTCAGTAGCCTGCTTTCCCAGGTCTATGAAAGGCCAAACAATATCTTTTGCTAGGTGGCCTCATGCCAGAGAGCACTTTGTTACTGTGGTAGATGGGAGAACAGATATCCAGGAATGACAGCACTCTGCACAGAGAGCTTTCCAGGGACTGTCCCGGACAAACTTGCAGGGATGGAAACAAGGTAGGAATATTTGGGGATGACAAGCAGTATAAGGCATCTGGAGCACAGCACAGCATGGTTATGGGAAATGGATAAACAAGGATGAGGCTGGAAAGAGATGTCAAGACTGCAAAGAGTTAGGCTGAGGAGTTTAGCTCTCCCTGGTCAATGAGGTCAAATGGTTTTCATGCTCAGGGTGATGACTGGTAATTGCTGCCTGGAGGGTTGTGCCAAGTCAGCTTCCGAGGCTGTATCAGGCTCAGCAGGAAGTGTGGTAATCACTTAATCATGTCTGCCATGGGTGCAAGAGCATGAGCAGCAGCGCCTATGCCCTGGCTATTATCCTTACAGG